AATGAGCTAGTGTAGACGTACCCTAATAAATCATTATCAGAGATGATATAAAATGGCAAAACCCACTCATCACACACTCTATGGGTTTTTTAAAACGCATTGGAAACCTCCATTTGCCATTCACTCTAGAACATCTTGACATATTATGGCATGCCAACGAAATAATTATCATCAGCGCATTATATCAAGATGCAGCTTGCACTGTTGAAGTAAATACAGACTTGAATGAATGCATTAATGTAGGCACTGATGTCAAACAAGGATGTATTCTCTTACCTCTTCTGTTTGGCATTTCCAATGACTTCTTCATGACAAAAAGTAGAGATAGATGCAACATAAGCATCCTATAAATGAACAACAATTTTGTTCACTACTTGGATTTTTCTGAAGACATAACTCTTTTAAGGGATAGCTCAGCCAACATGCAATCAAAGGCCAAAAGACCAACCAGCAGCACAAAAATGGTGGAATTAATAATTATGAAACAACAAAATCTAACGAGAATTCCAATAACTCCCAGCTCAATTATTGCTTTTGGGAGGCAAAGGAATATATGAGGTGTGTCAATTCATGTTTCTTGTTAGTAATGTGTCAGTCAATGAGGAAATGCAGAAGAAAATATCACAAATTGGCAAATTGGCAGATACCATTCACCAGCTTAAATAATATTTGATCATAGAAAATGTAGACTAAACCAAACTACAACTCAAATATTATTTCCACATGAACATATGGGTTTGGAATTTGGAAATCTGCCAACGGTACAGCCAGATGTCTAAAGGCATTAAAGAAAATCCTTCAGGAAAATACTAGGTATTCAATGGAAAAATTGTATAACATATGCCAAGATTTGTCAGAGATTTTGACAGCTGAAGCTTTCCAGAAAAGAAGACCGGAAATATTTGGGACTTGTATTACAACACAGCCAAGACAAATACTATAGCAGGCTTGCCATTGGACAGCTAGGAGAAACAAGTAAAAGAATCACCTCTCTTAAACAGTGCTGAATGAGAAAATGTAAAGAACATGCAAAGAGGAGGCCAGGGTACGGAGAAAAGGCAGAGCCTTGTTTGTGAACTACCAATGGCTGAAAGCACAGAAAGATTTCAGATTCAGCAAGTGCTGAATGACACAAAGCACTTGAAACCTGAAGGCTTCTTGTGCTATGGCCCAAGGGAGTCAGCAGCAATGGGATTATCTGCAGCTTTAAAAGCAAGATGAAAGTGGTGATGATTGAGGAATTTGCTTGTCTTGGCAGTCTGGTGTGCCTGTAGGGAAGCTGATTACCTTTACTTGATGCATACTGGAGACCGGCTGAACATTGAGCCCTAGGATTTAAAGTTTAATGGCAAGCCAAAATGTACCTTGTTTAATTTCCCATCTTTAAGATGCTGTTATAGTAAAAACTATAATTTAACTATGATTGCTACTGCACCTCTCTTTGTTTTCCATGGCAGAGACTTTGCTAGGAAGCAGAAATCGTAGGATGTAAGCTTTTGTGGTATTGGTCTCTTTCTGAAAATGTGGCAGTCTGAAGAGCACACTCACATCACTTAGCTAGTTTGGGAAGAGTTATAAGCTTTATTTTCCAGCAGCAATAAAATGTGCTCTACATCCTCTGGAAATCAGCTTCTGCTCATTAAGTCACTGAACATGCAAGGCACTGCAAAACCCAGCCACAGCTTGCATTCAAAAGCAGCCATCGGATACTCATTTCAGATATTGCTGATTTGGCCCAATAAACTGGCAACAAAAGGCTATGTATCCCACATAAAATTCTCTGCACTGTTTGGTGTCCTCGGCATTTTTTGGAACGTAGTAAAATTTACATTTATCCAAATATTACAGTCACCAGTGGTTTTTTTGTTATGGTATGGCCCGATACGCAGTACCAGCACCTCCAGACACCGTACCAGCACCTCCAGTCAGAGCTCAACAACTTTTCCCCTGGAGTACCAGCATCTTTTTTTTTTTTTACAAAAAAAATCACTGACAGTCACCATACATACATGCATCTCTGAGAAAAGTCACTCATGCCCTTCTGAGCACTCATTTGCTTAGCAACCTGGAAGTCTCAATACTGTGAGAATTAGCACATTTTTTAAAGTTTGAACACATCTGAAAAAGATGTAATATATTTCAGCAGAGGATTGTAATTTCTTTATTACTGACACAATAGTTATCAATCTGAGAAGCCGCATGTTAAATTGGAAGCTGCCTGATCATTTTTTTCACCATATCTGTAGAATATTTTATGCTTGTGAAAACACATTCTATATGACTCAGAGGCGTAGCTCCCAGCACTGGGGGGGCCTGGTTCAGGGGGAGAGGTGAGTGCATTGGGATGGGGGCCCTGGTAGGGTTGGCTCAGGGAGGGGGGTGAGTTCATTGGGATGGAGGGATGCTGGGGAAGGGCTGGCTCTGGGGGAAGAGGTGGGTGCATTGGGGTTACTTATAATTTTTTTTTTTTTAAATAAAAGATACTTTATAACAAAAGGAAAAACTTAAAAAAATAAGAGTATGGTTACATTTTAAAGACTAACAAATATATAGATCAGGCATGTCAAACTTGAAGTCCATTGAGAACCACTCAAATGAAAACTGATAGCTTTCAGGGACACCAAAAAAAATGTACTTCTATCGCAAAGTTGTAATGATTTATTATTATAGATGATGTTTTAGGTATTTTTATAATATATTTTCAGGTCTTGTTTTAATAAAATACAATAATTTGATGTGTAAAATTGTTATTTACTTATAAAATAATTTTTAATTTAAATATAAATTTAAGGTACTTTTAAATTTTGTATATGATACATAACTGGTTTTGTTGAAATAAAAACAAGTATAGACCATGGTCAATCAAATAGAACAGGCTTCTGTGAAGATTTCAGATAGTCTGTAAGTTTGAGATTTTGCATAAACATATAATTATTTGTGCAATTGCGAAAAATTGACATATTTATTTACAGGCAGTCCCCGAGTTACGCGGATCCGACTTATGTCGGATCCGCAGTTACGAACGGGGCCCTTCCTCTCCCTGGTCTCCAGCAGACCAAGGAGAGGAAGCAAAGCGGTGGAACACACGGGCAGCGGAAAGGGCTGTCCGCTGCCCACGTGCTCCGCGGCTTGGCTCTGCTTTGCTCTGCTTTGCCCCCCCTGGCCCCCTGGTCTGCAG